CTCTATTTTAGCAAACTCCTAGGTTTGCACAACTTTTCCGTTAGTTTTCCGGTTGAGGCGTTGCAAGCTCCAATGTAACCTTTACAACCACGGCACTCGCCCTAGGCTTTCCATCAAGTCCTCGCATGTTGTAACATAGTCCGTTGGTTGGGCTTCAATTCTCTAATTTCTTTATTAGGCCTTGCAATTTTTCAATGCACGCTTTCGCTCGAGCTCTCGAGACTGGTCCGATTGGAATATGTGGAATTGCAAGTCCCGATCTTTTCGTATCCATGTCACGTTGACCCGGCCCCAATTAATTGTTTGGGTGTGTACAATAATAAAGATTTTTATTCTACAATTAGCAGTGACTAACCACACCAGATTTTAAAATTCAAATAAAAAAGCACATAAATCACATAAAGATAATCAATAAATCTTTTACCACGTGGTTTTTTAAAAATATGAAAAATCTTTTTGTGAACTTTCAAAAAGCTAGCAAAAAATACTAATTTTGGAGTCCAATCTAATATGAAATCATAAATATTAGTTTAAATTGTTCAAAAATTATGAATTTATTTCCAAAACATCTTCGATTTTAAACAAAACAACTTTAAAACTTATGACAAACTTAAAAGAACTTAAATATTTTTTATTTTTTTGGGCATACCAACAAATCGGTTTTTATTGATATGCCTTAAATCTAGTTTGCTACTTCACTGAGTTTTTACGGAGGTCTCGTTGTATTGTATGTTGGAGTTAGCATTGGGTTGAGCCCGTCTGGTATATTCTCTTAGTTTATTTGAATAGACTTAGAGATATAAAATCTGTAATTGTAACATTTCCGTCCTCAATAAATTTGTTCTCTATTTCTGCCCGTGAATATAGCCAACATTTTGGTGAAGCACGTAAATCTATATCTTGTTTACATTTTTATTTTTTATTCGACCATTCATCCTAATCCTTTACAACAATTTTCTTTAAAGAAGCCTTAGAAATCAGAACATAGAGTCAAGAAATACTTGATTTCTAAGCTGAACTAACACCGATAAAGTCTGATCTCAAGATTCATTTGATTTTCCACTGAAACTTTAAAATTAGTATTAAGAAAATCCAAAAGGTACTTCAATTTAACTTAAGTCTTAACAAAAAAAAAACTAGAATAAAATTAAAAAGGTTTCCTTACAGAAACTTAAGAACGGAACAAAACAACTTAAAAACTTGTTCGATTCGAAGACAATTTTATATAATCGAAATATTATTTACCAGAACACCAAAAATGAACAAAGATTCTTCAAAATAGAACCCAAGACTGCAAAAGTCTTTTGCTATAAATAAAACATATATATTTTGTAGAAAATAAAAAATAGACATAAATTTAATGGGTGGAAGGAATACTAACTATATTTAAGTATAGTAGAATATCATAATGGTAATACATAACATATAGTACACATGTTATCATTAATCTCATCATATATTATATATTGATACAATTTAATATATAATAATCCATTCATCTTATAAATTTGTATTTTTTTTATAAGAGTGAAATTAAAAATTTTATAAGATTAGTAATATACCTTTTAGATTAAAGTAGACTGCTTGCAAAAAATACGTAAGATTTAGTAATGATATTTATGTAAATAGTGAATATAAATTTAAAGAATAATTGCATTTTTTTTTTATTAAATATAGTATGAACATACTTTCGATGGACATACTAAAATAATAAAATAAGAACAATTTTACAAGACGAACAAAAAATATAATGGTTGTTAATGATATAAACAATAGTATATTGTTTTAAAAAAAAATTTGTCACATATATCTATATAATATAGGATTTGTTTGTTTAGTGATTTTTTTTATGTAAGGTATAAGAAATTGTATGAGTGATATAAAAATATAATATTTCCTTCGTCAAATTTATTCTTACTTTTCTTTTTAGTTTGGCCGCTAAATTTACTTCATTATTACGTTTGGCAAAGTCAACAAATCAATATTTAATGTAGTATTATCTTTCATTAAACAATTCTTTACAATAAATATCACTACATTTATTACATTCTCTCTTCCTTTACTTTATTTTTTTAATTAAAATTTAAAAACTACCCTCAACCACTTTTTTACTTTTATTATTTTTTTAAAAAATACTCCCTCCGTCCACTTACAATTTTTACATATTTCTATTTTGGAACGTCCAATTACAAAGTTAACATTTCATTAAATATTTTTCTTTTTTCCACAAATACCCTTACTTCACATCACATTATTACTTTTACATAAAAAAAGTAAGGTAAAAAATGTCATTACACTACTTTTAACTATTCACTATAATTAAAATACTATTATTTCTTAAACACCGCGCTAAAATTAAATGTAAACATTGTAAGTAGACGGAGGGAGTATTTGTTTTTCTTAATCTCTGTGCCGAATACAAATTGACTAATTTTAATGGACGGAGGGAGTATTTTATATTGAATGTTGATTTTTATGAGAGAATAAAATATACTCCCTCCATCCCAATCCAAATCAGTCTTTTGGAGTTTTGTAGTAAATTAAGAAATAATAATATTTTATTGATTGGTGGAAGTGTGTAAGAGGTTTTGATATTTTCCCTTTGACTTTATATATAACGTAATTGTATGTGTAATGATATGTTTATAATTTAGGTGAAAGCTAAGGACATGTATATATTAGTATATGATTAGTTTCTCTAAAATATAAAAAACGTAGTTTTAAGTGGACAAACAAAAAATGATAAAAATATTATTTTGAGTTGAAATGAATAAAGTATATATTGTGAATTTTTTATATATATACGAGAGCAAAGACACCCATAATAACTGAGGTTAATAAGGAAGATACTAATCAACCTTACTAAGCACCATAAACAATATGATCCTTGTACAATGGATCTTTATGTATACTTACTCGGAACTTATCAGAAGGTAGGAAGAGATTGAAAAATAAAATGAAAATGAAAGAATAATTGTCATTACAAAAAAATTGAAATTTAGCTATAAAAATAATTCATACTAAAAATGTTTTTGCGACGAAATATCTATCCCGCATAAGTAAAGGTCTTTGGTGACAAATATGACTTTCATAATAAAAAAAAAAATGAAATTGCAATAAAAGTTAAGAAAACATATATAGCTACAAAATATGATTTCTTAGTCGAAACTCTTTTTGTATAAAATTAAAATTCATAACAAAAGAGTTTTAGCAACAAAATATATATGATTTTTGTAGCCAAATATTTTTAGCTATGGAAAATAATTTTGTAGCTAATTTTTTTTTTTATGAAAATAGCATTTTCTAGCAAAAATATTTTAGCGATAAAATTAATTTTGTAGTACATAATTTATTTTTAATGATAAAATTAATTTTGTAGTACATAATTTATTTTTAATGATAAAATTAATTTTTTTTGCTAAATGGTATATTTTAACTACAAAAATATTTCGTAATTAAAAATATTGTAGCTAAGTAGATATTTTTTTGTAGTATGTAGATTGTGGGTTTGTTTGTCTTGATCTTAAATAAATAAATAATTATTGTCCACTTAGCATAAGTTTTAATAAAATTACACTATTTTCCTCATTAAAAATTATACCCATATGATTGGTACAAATTTTAATTAAAATGAATAATATTAGTTATTTTTTCTTTTTATAATTGTTGGAACCTGAAATTCGAAGTTTCCAAAATAGTTCGTCAATTCTGTCGGTGTGGGTTCCGTAGTACTTCAAAGAGTCAATCTATCGTCGGGTAACTGAGATCTCATGCGATTGTTCGAACTAAACTAAGATAATCTACGGAAAGCACGTAAAATAAATGACAAGAAGCATAAAAGCATGTAACTTGAATTAAATTGCATAAAACGAAACTAAAACATAGAAAGAAAATAGGAAAATATACGATTTGATCTTCTTGTGCCTGTGTGTGATGTGTTTTTTCCTAATGTCAATCTTAAGATAGAATAACCGCCTCTTCCACTAAAAAGAGTAGTTCCAATTATTCTTCCACCACTCTCAACCGCTTGGTAATCTCCTTCTTTCAGCTCCCAACCGCTTTCATTGCCTCTGGATCGGGTTCCATTCGTTTTGAACATCTTCCGTTGTTTTTGGACCGGGTTCCATTTGCTCTGAACTTCTTCCATTGCCTCTGGATCAGACCTGCAGCTTACCTTGACTTGCTTCCATCATATTCCTAGTCGGTCTATGGAGATATGTTCCCAACAGCCTCGAGTTACATAGAATCATCCTTCTTCTTTCTTTTGGTTTGGTCCATAGAACCTTCCATATAGAACATATAGGTGCTAGGGTCTTCCATTGATGTTACGAAGTTACCAACCCAGGGTCGATGGAGGTTGTTGTCTAAAGGCCTGTGGAAGCTACATCATCTTGCTCTGTGGAAGCACCGCAGTCTGATGGAAGTTGTTGCCTTCAGCTTTGAGTCATTTGGACTTGGGGTCCAACAATTGCCCTCCTAAAAAAAGGGATATAATGTGAAACAAATGGAGCTTTATCCTTTTTTGGAATTTTCTTCTTGTGGAGCTTTGAATTCTGCTAGAGTCTTGTCCATTTGCTTCCGTTTTGGAAGAGGCTTCTCCATTTGCTTTCCTCTTGGAATGGACTCCTTCGTCTGCTTTTCTGTCTGAAGCGGCTCCATAGTTTGCTTTCTTCCTGAAAATAACTCCACAACCTGTAACCTGCTTCCATTTTTTTAGCAGCCTGGAAAAGATCTGCTTTCATTTTGTTTCATATTTAACAGTCTGGAAAAGACCTGCTTTCACTTATCCACTTTATACCTTTATCAAAACTCAAGTGGCGACATATACCCCTTAAGGTGCCTAGCATTTATAACAATTCTATGTTTCGTCCCATCAATATTCATCAATCTATAAGCACCGTTAGACAACACTTTACTTACTTGATACGGACCTTCCCACGTAGAAGACCACTTCCCAAATGTGTTATCTTTGAAACCTTCGGGTAACACTGCTTTCCACATCAAATCTCCTTCATGGAATGCTCGCCGGCGTACTTTTTGTTATAAGCTTGTGCCATTTTCACTTTATTCACTTGGATATTCTCCAAGGCCATCATCCAATCTCCGTGTACGTCGTCCAACCTTTGTAACATATTTGTGTCATATTGTTCGGGATTGAGAAAATTTTGCTTCAAGACTCGTAAAGATGGCACTGTGATTTCCAATAGCAATATCGCTTCTTGCCTATAGAGCAGCTGGAATTGGGTGCAATCAGTGGCTTTACTTCGGTATTGCCTGCAGGCCCATAAAGCCTCCCTCAACACTTCGTACAATCTTATCGGGTTTTCTTCCACAGCCTTTTTAATTAGTCTAATTAAGATTTTATTGGCTGCTTTGGCCTACCTGTTCGCTTGCACATAATACGAGAACAAATGCAAAAGAGTAATCCCATACTGTGCGGCAAAGGCAGCCACTCTATCACTTGTAAAAACAGTACCTTGATCGGTGGTAATTGTTTGCGGAATTCCATACCGGTGAATAATGTGTTCCTTAATGAACTTGATCACTTCTTGGTATGTTACGTTGGTCAATGGTACAGCTTCTATCCACTTTTTGAAATAATCCGTGGCCACCAATATGAACGAGTGTCGTTTAGAGGATGGCGGATGGATCTTTCCGATGATATCCATCGCCTATCCCCGGAATGGCCATGGTTTCATGACCGCATGCATTTTTTCCACTGGAATTTGGATCAAAGGACCATGTCGCTGACACACTTCACATAATTGAGCATACTTGATGCAATCCTCTGTCATTGACGGCCAAAAATATCCATACCGTTGGATCGTCCATCTCATGACTAATTCAGATCTGTGTGCTCCGTAAACCTCTTCATGCACCTCACCCATCACCTTTATAGCTTCCTGAGTATCCATGCATTTCCCTAGCATGCCTCCGTAACTTTTCAAGAGTATCACCCGTTGGTTGTTCCAAATACTTTCTTAATTCCATACGCCAATCCTCTACTTCCACTGGGCACAGACATACTCACCCTGACTTGAAATTTCCTCCAGCGGACGGCTTATACCCAGGGCTTCTTAAGCTAAATCATTAGTTACTCTGTTTTCAACTCGAGGTATGAATTTCACCATTGCGTCGTCAAAATTTTGCAACATCGTAATTGTCTCCATTCGAAGGTTTCTCAACTTTTCATCTTTGCATTGGACTCACCAGCAATTTTCTTCAGAATAAATTGTGAATCGCCTTAAACTCTGATTGCCTCAGCTTTTTTTTTTTTTTATGGAGGATCTTTAGTCCAATTAATGAGGCTTCATATTCTGCTTGATTATTAGTAAATATGGGTGCCAATGGTTTGGTAACAGACTACTTTCTTCCCCGTGGGCTCTCGATAAAGACCTCAGCTCCAACGCTGGTCTGCATGCTGGAACCATTAAACTTCAAGATCCATGGCATCGGACTAATAACAACCTCCATACGATCACCTTCTTGGTCGGATATCAAACTCGGATAATCTGCCAAAAAATTAGCAATGACCTGACCTTTGACAACTTTAATTGGTATATATCTTAAATCAAATACGGCTAGCTTTACATCCCATTTCGCTTGCCTTCCTCTTAAAGCTGGCATGCTTAGTAAATATCTCAAAATATCGACATGACACACCACTTCTGTCTCCCTTGGGGCCAAATAATATTCAAGTTTCGTGCAGGCATAAATCAAGCCGAGAAATAATTTTTCCATAGGAGTGTACCTTGTCTCCGCATCATTCATTACCTTAATGAGGTAAATAATGGCACACTCACTTCTATCGAGAGCTTCCTAGGCCAGTATGCAACTGAACGTATTCTCAGTGGCCGAAACATATAAGCGTAGAGGTTTACCTGCTTGCAGCGGCATCAACACTGGCAGATTGGCCAGAGTTTCCTTAATAGCTTCGAAAGCCTGCTAGTGTGGCGGCTTCCACACAAATTTCTCCATCCTCCGCAATTTGAGTAACGTGGAAAAAGCTTTAAGTTTTCCTGCAACATTCGAAACAAATCTTCACAAAAAGTTCACCTGCCCAAGGAATCCTTGGAGCTGTTTCAGATTCTCAGGCAATCGGGCATTGATGATAGCTTTCTTCTTGTTACTATCCACCTCGATACCCTTATTATACACCATGAAACCCAAAACATTTCTGGAGGCCACTCTGAATGCTTCGCTGGATTTATCTTTAAATTATATTGCCTCATTCGCCGGAAATCTTGCTCGAAGTCCACCAGATGTTCCGAAAAACCCTTGGATTTCACTACGATGTCATCAATGTAAACTTCCACCGACTGTCCAATTAAATCGTAAAATATGGTGTTCATTGCTTGCTGATAAGTCGCTCCAGCATTCAACCCAAACGGCATTACCACCCAATCATATACTCTAAGGGCCCCTGGGTATCGGAATGTCATTTTTGCAATATCCTCATCGGCTATGAAAATTTGGTTATAGCCAGAATACCCATCAATAAACGACAAGACTCCCGTTCATAGCGGCTGCATCCACTAACATATCGGTGATGGGCATGACGTATTCATCTTTGGGTGTCGCTAAATTCAAATTACGGTAATCGATGCATACCTGTAATTTTCCGTTTTTCTTAAGTATAGGAACAATGTTGGCAACCCATTCCGGGTATCGACAAATCCGGATGAATTCTACTCCCAAGAGCCGTTGAATTTCTTTCTTGATCTTTGGGTACACATCTGGATTAAACCTTCGCGGCGGTTTCTTGTGGGGTTTGTATCCGACTTTTATGGGTAGTCGATGTTCCACAAGTTCTCGAGCCATGTCTGGCATTTCATCGTAATCCCAAACGAAACAATCCCGGTATTCCTTTATAAATGTTATCAAGGCGGCTCGATCTTCTGATGTTAACAATGCACTAACTTTGGTGATTCGTGAAACTCCATCGGTACTCAAATCAACATCCTCCAGCGGGTCTTGGGCCTGGAACGCTTGATGTGTTTTGTGCAAGGGTGATGGTAATTCTACTTCATTGGCGAATTTCCCTGGATGGTTCTAAACTGCCAATGGAATTTGTTCTGAGCAGTTCTGGACCTTCCACGGGGTCTGCTCTGGCCAACTCTGGATGTTGCGTAACGAAGCTTGTTTTGGGTGGCTCAATGTTTTCCAAGGAGCCTGCTTTGGACTGCTCCAAACATACAATAGAGCCTGTTCCGAGCAGCTCACTACCTTATGTGGAACCTGTTCTAAACGGCTCTACTCGCAATGGAGCCTGCTTCAGGAAGCTCATATTGAATTTCGTCGCATTCAAAATTCATCGTTGTCTTGTTCATTCATAGGCCATGGATCGGCCCTCGCTTGAACCCTGAACTGCTTATCACTAAACACATATTCATAATTTCCTTCATTAGGTATGGAGGCGATCACTTCTGACAATGGAATCATCTCCGAATAGTAGAAAGTCGCATCGACAGTTGTGACCTCCGTTGCAAATGGATCTTTCTCCGCTTCAACTTCTTGAACCTCGTCGCCATCCCAAAATAGGAACTTCTGGTGTAAAGTCGACATGACACACTCGCAGGCGTGAATCCATTCCCACTTCAACAATGCTACATTTGACAGGCGGCTGTCTATTATCACAAACGTTGAGGGCAACTTCTTTGTGCCAACTTGCACCTCAACAGTAGCAGTTCCCACCGGCTTGTACGAATTTCCCATAAAATCTGTGGATTGTACTGAGGTTGGTATTAAATCATCCTTTGTCTTTCCTAATTTTTTAAATGTCCGAAACGACATCACGTTAGAAAATGCGCCGCCGTCTATCAGTACTCCACCCACAGGTCGTCCTTCCATTAAAGATCGAATGTATCGGGGCTTCACATGTTTATTCTGCCCGGACCCAATTCGATCAAATGTGACCGTTGTCACTACGTCATTCCATTCTGCAGCTGGCTCTTCATCTACGATCACTCCCTCGTAACTTTGCTCCCCTTACGGAGCTTTAAACTAAGATAGCAATAACCAGACAACCGATAATTGGCCAGCCTTAGTATCAAGCTCCTTCGGCTGTGTAGCTTTCGCCACCCATCGGCGTTGCCAATTTGGAGCGGGTCCGGCGCTCGGTGTAGAAAAAGTCAAGCGAGGTTGCAACTCTTGATTTTTCCGAGGTATTTCCTTATGTTCCTCAACTTTCGAGGCTTTCTCGTCCCGATTCATCATTTTTTGAACATGCATTCCTGGTTCAATTTTCTCACCCCCTGATAAGTTCCCTTCCTTTATCCTTACACTACTCCGACTTGGTTGAATGCCTTTAGCTTCCAGTCTAGCTTGTAATCGTTTCCTTTGTACCCTTCTTTTCTAGGAGCGCGTAAGATCTCCCATTACCCTCCTAGCATTTGCCTCCGGCACATTGACTGTCCACTTCTTCGAATCTACTGTTGATGGAGGCTTCCGCATCGTTTTTGGAGTAATGGTAATCTGATCGGCGGACGTAATAGTCCAAACTCGCTTACCACTAGCGACTTTGACCTCAACCACAGTGGCATCCGGCTTGATACTTGAGCCTGGAGCTGCGGCTTTAGTCATCACGTTATTGCATTCCCAAAATTCCCTGACATTTGGAATCGTCACTTTCAGATTAGGGCTCTGCTCTACGACTCTAGGTTTCTTACCTCCACCATTTCCATTAGGCTCAGCCAGCCTATCAAAGACTAAACCCCGTTGTCGTATCCTAGGTCTGTCGTTCATGAACCGGATGCCGAACCGGTTGCTTCCCTTTGTGTTGTCTCTTGGGATCTCCTGTGGACATGGTGTTAATGGACAGAGCCGGAAACGGATTTGCGTCCACTTGCATACTCTTCTCTGCCAATTTTAACCTGCCATCATCTAAGGCCTTCTAGATTGTATTTCGTAGGTACGTACAATTGGCGGTAGCATGTGTTTAGCTTCCATGCCACTTACAGTACACTTTCCTTTTCAGTTCCTCTGGTGACGACACTCGCTGCCCGTCCCGGAGTTTGATTTGTTTGTCTTTCAATAGATGATCAAATATTTGTTCGACTTTAGACACATCGAAGGTATACTGAGCACCTCTAATTTCCTTGACCTTTGTAGGCCTTAATGCCGAACAAGAATAGGTTTTTCCTTTCAACAACTCAATGGCTAACATATCTTGTTCCTCAGAAAATTCATCATCGGCTGAATTTCATCATCTACACAGCATGTTACTCCGGTTTTTCCATATTTCTTCCACCTTCCAACTGCAACATCCCGTCTCTCTCGGATGAGCTTCTCTGATCTCATTTCCGGTGCACTTAAATGTGAAAAATCCTGGAAATCTTGGACCCCTAACCGATCCTGAAGGTCTGATCGCATATTATCTACTGTCATCGCAGTTGTTTGCTGTTCCGGAATTTGTATTGTGCACCGCGTCTTAGCTTGTCGGAATCTTTCCAAAAATTGCGCCACAGGCTCATCATACCCCTGCTTTACAGCTACCAAATGGGATATTGTAGTTTCCACAGGCGGCGCATAAAACCGGTCGTGGAAAAGTCTCTCCAAATCTAACCAAGACTGCACGGTACCTGGAACCAATGACGTATACCACGAAAATGCAGTACCCGTTAGAGATAAAGAATTACAAACAATACCAGTCATTTTCTCCTAAGTCTCCGCATTGAGCTGTAATTTCCCAATATGCTCTATCGTTGATCTCCCATCTTCGCCTGAGAACAATGTACAATCTGGCGCTTTATTTCGAACAGGCAATGACATCATCTTACTTACCCAAGTTGGATAAGGTCTTTGATACACCGATCGCTCTTCAAATTTCATTCATGGAAAAGCCCTTTGGATACTTTCTATTAAATGTTTGTGTCTATTAATGGCCGGGCATTCTGCTAATTAGGAATCAATGGTTGCTCTTCTGGTCCCCAAGCTTGGCCAGCCATTCCTCCTTAAGGTACAACGGCATATGGAGCTTGTTGAAACCATGGTTGTGGAGGTGAGTTCCATGTAGGCTGACCTGTAAATTGCCCCGGCAATGTTGTCCCTGGATGGGTTCCGTAAACACTGCTTCCAGCGACATCCGGTCCTCCCACCATCTGAGGGCCAAAGCCTCCACCGGTCTGCCCTCCTTGCGGGCGTGGGAAAATCGTTACATTGTCGAACTGCAATCCTGCTCCACCCGTCGGCCCCTTGGCCGATCCAGTGTTTCCATGACCTAAGCTTGAGCCGAAATTCCCTGTGAGGGATGGATTTCCTCCACCAGATGGAGCTATTCCTCTCGGACCTCCATATGTAGTTCCTGAAATTCCAGAATTTTGAACTCCACTAGCCACTGCTCGACGTTCTTCTTCGCGAATCTGAAATGTTTCATTCCTTACAGTTGGCCGGATTACGTCGGCAAGTTGCCTAGAGATTTCGTATGAGATATCCCCGATTCCAGCCTGAATACATTGATTCACTTCTCTGCGTACTATATCCACCATTGTTTCGGTCGATGATGATTCTTCTTCTTTCCTCGGCCCTGGGGTGCGGCTTCCACTGTGGTGAATCGGTATTCCAATTACAGTGTTTCCTGCACCTATGTTCAGACCTAAGCTCTAATTTTGGTTTTCCACGGTGATCACCTTACCACTACAAAGTTGCATACACAAACCCGACTTGGTCCCACTGGGCGTGCCAATTGTTGGAACCTGAAATTCGGAGGTTCCAAAATAGTTCGTCGATTCCATCGGTGTGGGTTCCGGAAGTAATCCAAAGAGCCAATCCGCCGTCAGGTAACTGAGATCTCATGCGATTGATCAAACTAAACTAAGATAATCTACAGAAAGCACGTAAAATAAATGGCAAGAAGCATAAAAATATGTAACTTGAATTAAATTGCATAAAACGAAACTAAAACATGGAAAGAAAATAGAAAAATATACAATTTGATCTTCTTATGCCTGTGTGTGATGTGTTTTTTCCTAGTTTTAATACTAAGATAGAATAACCGCCTCTTCCACTAAAAGGAGTAGCTTCAATTATTCTTCCACCAATCTCAACCGCTTGGTAATCTCCTTCTATCAGCTCCCAACCCCTTTCATTGCCTCCGGATCGGGTTCCATTCGCTCTGAACTTCTTCCATTGCTTCTGGATCAGACCTGCAGCTTACCCTGGCTTGCTTCCATCATACTTCTAACCAGTCTACGGGGATATGTCCCCAACAGCCTCGAGTTATATGGAACCCTCTTTCTTCTTTCTTTTGGTTTCACCCATAGAGCCTTTCATATAGATCATATAGGTGTTGGGGTCTTCCATTGATGTTATAAAGTTACCAATCAAAAGTCGATGGAAGTTGTTGTCTAAGGGTCTGAGGAAGTTACATCCTTTTACAATGAAAGCTATTGCCTTCAACTTTGAGTCATTTGAACTTGAAGTCCAACAATAAAAATATAAAAGTTGTATGTTGTTTTAATTAAAAAATGTAAATATTTATAACAATTCAAAATGAAAGATACACATAAATTTGAATGATAAAAAAAATATTATTTTTATCACAAAATATAATATTAGAATAATATTTAAATCATATTTCAAATGAAAATAAAAACGTATGTTCTTAAATGGTAGCCTTGAGACATATTTCCTTAAATATATAAAAATAAAATATTATTTTGACAATAAAAAAGAGTTTAAAAATAAATAATCAAAAAGTTTAAAAAATAAATAAATTAACTTCAAAAGGTGTCCAAACACAACCTTAAATATATGGCCACTTGGTTATAATAAATCTTAAATTACAATTTAAAAAGTTCAACAAAAAATAAAAATAAAAAAATAATAAAAAAACAAAACAAAACAAAATAAAAACGACCTTCATTTAGTGAAGAGGTTTGTAAAGGAGCGTAGTTTCGAGTCAATACCCGAACCACCACGTCTTAGTCGACCACGCGGTTCGATCTCGACTCGCCTCTATTTTCCCTCCAATTATCCTCCCATCAATTCATCCCTCTTAACACTTACATTTTCAAAATATATCAAACTTAATTAAAGAGGGATGAGATTAAAGAGCGGCCGTGATTTTCTCAACTGTGCAAGAGATGAGATTATCGACGGTCTCGATTGACTCTAGGGAGAGCCGTGCCGTGGGGAGGCTGTTCACCAATATTTGAAATGCAACGGTCAATAGGGAGCCACGTGGACTATGGGATCCACTGTCGGCTTGGTCTTGTGGGCCCGCTACGATCGCGAATCCGGATGGGAGGAGTGACACGTACGATGAATCTCCACCGTCCATCACCGACTGCATCGCAGGGATGTCGACCGGCGCGTACACCACAACCGAACCGGACGCGTCTGCGCATGTCTCCTGGAGGATCAGCATGCTGCTCTGGCTCGAATTCAGTGCCTGTAGAGGTCAAATGACCGAATTAGCCCTACATAGTCAACCCCATGTTTTACTGTGCAATTTTGACTTTTTATAATTATTGTAATATGCAATGTGTCAGTTCAGTTGTTTGGATCTCTGATGGCCGGCCTTTTGTTTTTATCGACGCCAACGAACTCCCCACTTTGTCCCTATTGAATCAGTGCTTTTCAGGTTAGTGGGGGCGTTCCTGCTGAGGGTAGGAGAGTAATTTCAGAAGAGTGGACTCATCGTCCCCACCATAAACCCTAATTTTTAGGAAATTTGCAGAAAACCCTAATTTTTGGGGATTGATCGATTGAGAGAGAAACTTACATTTGCTCGGAGGAGAGATACGGAGTTTCGGTGATCGTGGCCTTTGGTGATGCGAGCGATTTCGTGCACCGGTCCGCCGTTGGAGAGGATGTCCCACTCGCTCCGCAAGTGCTCGTTGCGGAGGAAGTCGAAGAGGCGCTGTGGCGACGCCGGAAGCCAGACGGAGGTGGCGGCGCTGAGGACGATGCCCGGAGGCTCGCCGGGATCGTCGAGGCTCTTTCTCGTCATGATGCGGACGACGTCGTCATCGCTGACGTTCTCCGGCCGGAGTTTGTTCCATTTGTAGAGGGTCGAGGCGCAGACGCCGGCGCAGAAGTTTCTGGTCATTCGCTGAGCCAGCTTCAGCAAGCTCCGCCGCCCGCCGGTGGTTATTGCTGCCCGAGAAATTAAGTAAAGCACATTCATTTATATTAAAAATGAGAAACAATTGTTAACTTTGCTAATTATTTATTAAGAATATATATATATATATAATTTTTATTTTTTTTTTTCAAAATTTATACTTCTTCTTCGTACCTTACCTTAGCAGTTGTTCAGTACGTAAATATAAGAATTTAAATAAAATATAATTAATGTATAATTAAAAATTATATTAGTAAAAATAATTATTATATAATATATATAATTATAAATTAAAATTAAATTAATTAATTAATTAAATTAAAATTTAAAAAAATTATAAATTATAAAATTTAAAATAATTTGTTTTTTAAAAAAAATATGTGCAACAATAAAAATAAAAAATAAAAATAAATTATATGAATCACAGAGCGATAATATTTAATAGATAATTTTATTTAAAATATTACATTCAAAATATTTTTACACAAAACTGACCGTATAATATTTATTTACATGATTATATCACATTAAATACTAACTATTTATTATTCTTAATGCTTTCCAAACAATACTGTTCTATTTGGTTAAACGTACTTAGAACCTGTGAAGCTGTTTATTATCAATTTTTTTAAAAATAATACTCCCTCCGTCCCCAATCTATCTATCAATTTGCTTTTTGCACGGAGTTTTAAAAATATTAGTATTATATTGGAATAAAGTAAAAATAAAGGTAAAAAGACTAAATTAATCATATTAGTATTGTATGATATAAAGCTAATGATATTTGTATATTGTAAATTAGAAGGATATTTGTAATGTTAGATAGATAGTACAATTACTAAAAAGGAAACGAATACTTTGTTATGGGATGGAACAAAATGAAAAAATGGATAGATTGTTAAGGAACGGAGGGGAGGGAGTAATATAAAATCAAATACTCATTTAGTCCAAAAAGAAGAGTGTCATTTTTTATTTTTTTTCTGTCACAAAATAAAAGTGACATTTTTTCATTTAGTAATTATATTACATACCTAATATAATAAATACATTTATCTCTAATAATATATTATACATTATTTTTATATTATATCCTATTAATAGGGATAGTTTTGTAGTGTAATATAAAAAAGTAATAATAGTATTTGTGTAATTGTAAATTATAAATGTATTTATAATATTAAATATGTAGTATAATTACTAAATAAAAAAAAATGACAATCCTGATTTAAAAATTAAAAATGATAAATTTTTTTTATAAAACAAAAAAATATTATTTTTTATATTATCGAATTTTATTTTTATTTTTGCATATTTAACTTAAAAATGGTAAAAACAAAAAATGTAAAACAAACACTCACTTATTTTTTATTATTTTTAAAATCTTTAAAAACTACAAAGCTTATGTTCAGATAGTTTTTCTAGACCTCTTAGACCATCCACAATGGAGATACCCGCTTTTGGGTATCTTCACTACTTTTTCTTATTTATGTCACATTCTCTATCTGTCACGTCAACGGAGATACTCTCTTCTATTTTATATTCACAACAAAGATACTCATCCTAATTTTTTAATAAATTTTTATTTTCATATTATATACTCCCTCCGTCCAGTCAGAAAATATACATATTTATATTTTGGGACGTTCAATTACAAAGTAACCATTTCATTAAATACCCCATTTTTTTTACAAATACATCTATTTTACATCACATCATTACTTTTATACCAAAAAATTAAGGGCAAAAATGTCATTTTACTACTTCTACCTACCCACTATAATTAAAATACTATTATTCCTTAATTTCCGCACCAAAAGTAATTGTATACTTTTAGCTTGGACGGAGGGAGTATATTATTTTTTAATTATAATTTTAATTTGTAGTATTAATTATTTATTTAATTGCCTTAAAATTTATAATTATATTTTATTTAATAAATTAAATTAAATTTACTAATATTGATTTGTTCAATAGAATTATATAATATTTGTATTTATATATTTTAAATTTCAAATTGATAAAATATATTAAATATTAGTATCATTTTGTAGAATGCAAAATATTAGGAATTATAAAAATACTACAAAATTTAAATATAATAATAAATTCAATATAAATTACAAATACAAAACATATTTAATATATATTATATATATACATATACATATACATATAAGTGTTATGTGTCCCAATTAAATTGGAACACATGGCAATAGGAAGCACCATTCTATTTTATTTTTTTTTAGATGATGATGTGGGTCATGCCGGTGCCCTTATATAAACAAAGACTTATATATTTTTGTGTATTAAAAATTTTCACTAAGAAACATTACATTTAATATTAATTTATTTTTTGTTAAAATATTTTAAAATAAATTTATTTCTTTATTCAATTTCAAAAAATGTCATTCCTAAAATCTATTTAAATTATATAAATATATATATTTTTCTAGAGACTCAATAAAATATGTAAACTTAAAAAAAAAATGAAATTAATCATATAATATTCGAATATTAAAAAATTGTTTTGTATGTAAAAGAAAAAATCAAAATAAACACTTAAATTAACTTATGTTTTAAATAGTAGTTGATTCTAACTAATTCCTGATTAAGCTAACTAAAAATAATATTTACTTATGGATTTTTCAATTTTTTTTACTACTAATTATTTTTTAATTTTCTCATATAAGCAATATTACTACACAAATGTTCTTTCTATGTATATCTTTCTAAATTGGTGAACTATACTCCCTCCATCCCAAATAAAAAAAGTTCTTTTGAAATTTTATAATAGATTAAAAAATAATAGTATTTTATTAGTTAGTGAAAATATATAAAATTGCGTTCTTTTGTGGTTTTTACACATATTTTTACTATTAAGATTCTTTTTTCTCTTCAAAAATATCACATAAAACAATTTTTTTTTAATATTATACTACAAATTTATTTTACATTCAAAATATCACATTAACCTATATTTATATTAAATCAAATAACTATTCAAATTTAACTTTTTACTTTTAAAAAATTCAAACTAAAAAAACCCATAAACAAATACACCCTAAGAGTTTTGAATATTTTTGCTATTTAACTTTACGTATAAAATAATTGTATATGTAATGGTACGTTTGTAATTTAAATAAAAGTTAAGGATATTTTTATATTAATGTATAATTATTTTTTTGAAAATAAAAAAAAAATACTTTGAAGTAGGACATTAAAAATAATAAAAAAAATATTTTAAATTAAGACACAGATAATATTATCTATGAAATTTTGCTATTTATTATTTTAGTACTTCTTTTCTTTATTCAATTTATATTTATAATTTTTTAATTGTCATAAGAAAAAATATTTTTTTTATTTAATTCTTATTAAAACTCGTATCCAAATATTTGGACACATATTTAAATGATGATAGAGTATAAGTTACCTGTAGGCAAATTAGTGGACATAAGAATGGCGAGAGAGTCGGTCTGGCGTTGGAGTGTAGCGATCCAACGGTTAGCACCAAATCCGCTACCGCCACCAATTAACGGTCGATAAAGCGTGTGAATTATGCTCTCATCATACTCAGCATGCTCCACCCACGTAACCTGTCATACAAATACCATTCAAATGCTCAAAATATAATTTCGAATAACTAAAAAATAAATATGTTAATTTATATCATTAAATTATCTAATTAATATAATTAGATAATTAGACTTTAGGTATTCGGCAATTATTAGAATATTTTTAATTAAAGTAAAATATACAATTACTGAAAAAACAAAAACATTGAAGGTGGACAAATTAAAATGACAACTATTTTATTTTTTATTAAACAACATTACCAAGGCACTATATTTTTTATTTTTATTTTTCATATTATTTACTATATTATAACATCACAATTTTTCTAAAACAATATCATATTTTTCAAACAAAGCATCACATTCAGTAAAAATTTGAAACGGAAAACTAAAATGCAAATACAAAAAAAAAAAAGGAAAAACAAAAACTGTTTGTTTGTTTAGTATTTTTATTTGATTTTTTTAATGTAAAATATAGAAAATTGTATCAATAATACAAAAAATATTTATTAAGAATCATCACAAAAAACATATATTAAGAATCGTGTCAAAAAAAAATATTTAGACAAACAAAACCATTTAAAATTAATCATATTAATAAAGACATAACAATTTTTTCTATTTAAAATTGCATATATATTAGCAAATTTCTCGAATATTCTCTAAAATTATTACATTGAACTTTTTCTTTTTTCTTAAATCCAAAATATAACATCTCACTTTTATTTTACCCAAAAAATAGAAAAATTAAATAAACAAACCCAAAGCACGGAAGCATAAAAGTTGATGTCCAAATTAGAAAGAATAGGAAGGGTTTGTTTAAAGTAGAAGTAATTATTGATAATTAAAGACTATTTCACTTATAAATAATAATTAAGGAAAATCATGCAATTTAATTATACAGTAGAAGTGATTAGTGATAATTTTAATTAATTGTTTCAAATTAGCAAAATATTTTAAAATGAGAGATAGAGGGAACACTTTCAAATTCAATGAAGTACAAAAGGACTATTTTGTCCTTAATGTTGATGTCCTTGTCATGTTATTGATAATTGATCTTGTTTTCACTAATGTTATAATTTATATAATTATATTAACTACAAATAGTACATTCATACAACACATATTTACCTACTTTCATTTAACATAATATATATTGTGTGAAATATAAATTTATATAATTTCTATATTTCAAATATGTTGAATGAAAAGCTCATAAAACACAATGTTGTTTTTTATATTTCAAATGTATTCTTACTGATTTTTTCCATTAAACATAGTCACGGGACCAAAATAATTGATAATTTAATAAACAAAAAAATGGTCACTATTGAATAATTGTTTTAACATATTAAAACTATAAAGTATTGAAAAATAAGATCAAAATTGACTTCAAAACTATCAATTTAAAAAATTTTAAAATAAGAAATAAGTCAATAATAGGACTTACTATATTTTACTCCGTATTTTTTTTCCCTCAAAACGGTAAGGCTTTATATATATATCTTTTAATTAATTTGCCTTTTTATTGTTTTGTATTTAAAATAGTTATTAAATAGGATATTTTATATAAAAAAACTAAGTATGTTTTTTTAGAATACAAATATTGTATATTAAAAAAAAAATAAAAACAATAAATAGAATGTAAATATTTTTTAATAAATAAAAAGGTAGTTGAAATAAATTGAAATAAATGTTACCTTGGAATAACCATTAGGCATATCTTGTATGACACAGCCTGAGGGAAGTCTCCGGCAGCTCCGGTACAGCGGAGCTCCACCGGAAGTTTGATGGATGGCGTCAATGGAGATGTCTACAACTGCCCATAAGCCATCCGCAAGTTGTTTGCAGAATCGGATGAAATTGACCTCTCGAACCGGCACTAGTGGTGATAAAACTTGTAGTTCCGCGTGCATCTAGGATCATCGTAATAATGAAATCAAATTCTCCGGATAGATAATGAATTAGATAGAAAGTATAATTTGGCTATTTGAGCTCACTCTATTTGAAATAATCATATATCTTACTAATTATCATTGCTCTAGTGTTTTTATTTCACACATGACACTTTCACATTTAAAAATATGTGACGTTGAAGGTCTATAATATATATGTGTGTTTATTTTCAATTTTTTACTATTTAATTTTACATTTTTAAAAGAAAGAATATATATAAATTTCAAAAGATTACACAAAACATTATTTAAATAAAAATCCAAACTTTCAAATCTACTTCAAACTAAAAAGAAACACATTGTATGCGAAACTAGGATTAGTAAAATGGCACAAAGGAGACATAACAAATTATTTTTACGAAAAATCCGCTTAAAGTAGTAAAATAATAAAAGATGATACTTATAATATAAAATAGTATTTTTCTTAATCTCGATACTCAACTAAAAGAAAAAGAAAAAAGAAAAAAATAAACTGAACTCGAGATCATCGAGTAAGAATTTAGTTACCATTTGGAGTGTTCCGTTGATTGTCCCTCCCACGCCACTTGATATTATATCTGACGTCGAGCTTCTTGCTACTATACACGGAAACATCTCTGTCCATTTGATCTATGTCAATGAAGAAGAAAATCTATCTCAGACAAATTCAAAAAAATAAAATAAAAGATATATATCTACAATTTGAAGCAATAATAATAGACTTGTACACATAACCAAAATTACAATCTTAATAAATGCACTCACGGAGTCCATCAATGTCTCGACGAGATCCATACCGTTGATGATGACTACTCCAATCTCCCTCGACGCTTCACTCACAAAGCCATTAGGCTTCCTACCAATGCACGGGGTAAAGTTCCTCGCATACTCTTCATAATTGATTATCTCCCGATTGCCCTTAGGGCTCCTTACCCATAGAGGCTCGCCCATTTGTGTCATTTTTACCAACTCATCCATCGCGGCGAAGGCCAACTCCAAATACATTGATCTCTCAGGCAATATGGATTTAGTCGATGAAGGCATTGTTACAAGAGGTGTTAGGAAATCGGGAGGGCTCAAAGGAAGTGTTGAGGTTAGGTTGGTGAATCCATTTCCCCCGATGGCAAGTTCCAAACCCGAACAAGAATCGGGTATGGATGATATGGGCCGGCCCAAGAACTTGCTCACGAGCATACACATACGCTCTACATCATCCTTTAGTCGCGCATTTTCAATCCTAAGGTGTTGCTCCTCTAGGGAAATGTCGCCAATTATGGCCTTGCCACCACAATTTGGGCATATAGGACTCCTCATCGCCTCCCTAATTGACATGTTCTCGGCTCTTAGCTTGTCATTTTCTTGACTTAGGATTGAGTTCTCGTGGCGCTCGAGTTGTGTCTATGTTCAAAATCATGTACAATGTATGAAATTATAAATTCATAAAAAAGTAATAATAACTTAAATCGATAATTTTGACTCCATTTAAATAGAAAATTAACAAGTTTTTTAGATAATATAAAGATAGATATTTAATATAATATACTCTATTCGTCATGCAAATGTGTGCTCATTTGACCTAGTATGAATTTTAATAAAAGTAAATAATAATTGTTATTTTTTTCTTTTGTAGTAAAAAAAAATACAAAATGTAATAATTTTTTAATTAAAAAAAATATAAAATTATGACAATCCAAAACAGAAAATAAGCATTCATTTGAACTAATGAAGTATATTTTAAAAATACTATTATTAATAAATAGTGTAAAAAAATTTAAATATGTACATAAAAGTAACTTTGATTTAAATAAGTTTATGAACTATATTTTTGGTTTGTACCTTCATTTGAGTTCTTCTGTTTTGGAACCAAAACTTGACTTGTCTTGTCTCTAAACAAAGCCTTCTACTTAGCTCCAATCTTTGCTTTTCATCGGGATGAGGACACTCCTTGAAGAGACTGATTGATTCAACAAACAAACGAAAAACAATTTTATTTTTTTTTAAGAAATAATAATATAATTTGGAGTGAAAACAATACATAAAATTCTATTTTAATTTTATATATATATAAAAAGAGAGAGGCAAATTAAAGAAGGTAGTATAATTAATAATTAGATACACGCACGCTTCGAGTTCTTGAATCTGTTGAGGAGTGTGTCGGTGGTATCGCTTTTTCGTCGGTGGCTTGTCGGCGCCGTCGCGGTCGTCAGCGGAGCCGCCGTGAACGTCGCTCCCAGATCTACTATCGTGCTCCTCCTCTCTGCTCCTTACCCTTCCCCCAATTTTTGCTTGTCCTTCCATCAGTACCGTTTGCTGTTAATGAGAGAGAGAGAGAGAGAAAACCCTAGAGAGAGAAGAAGAAGAAGAAGTTATACGATGGAGAGTGAGAGGGTGGGAGAGGTGGAGAGAGGGTGGGAAGGGGAAGGGAGGGGAGGTTGGCCGATTGGCATTATATATATTGCCACCGCTGCGGCGCTTAATATTGTAATTAGATTGAAATTAATATACAGTATCTATTATCGGCGCTCTTGTACGGTGTCACTTAGCTTCTTGGACTACCTCCACCACTACAATTATATATATTGTTATCCCACCCCAACATTCTTCAAATAACTATAAAATTCTATTATTCTGCCTCTCTCTCTATATATTTTTTTTTAAAAAAAAAAAATACTATCTTTTGGAATTAGCACGTACTTACAGAATCACTCAACTAATTCATAATTTGAATCAAAACATACACACACATATAGGTTTGGTGTTGGGGTATGCGTGTGCATATATATATAGAGAGAGAGAGATTAGAGGGAGAGAGAGAGCTGGAGAAGACACAAGGAAGAAAGGAAGGAAAGTCTAAAACTCGAATTTCTGAGTAGTCAGTCACCCAAAATGGAGAGAGTTAAGATAACCCTAGCTAGTTTCTCTGTCATCTGCATGCCACTCCTAGAGAGGGAGAGAGAAGATTATCAGAGTTGAATTGAGTGTTAATTGGATGGAAGCCCACACAGCACAGCACAAGAGACCAAAAACACAGAGGGGGAAAAGCCAAGAGACCTGTTGAGTGTTGACTCTTTCTTTCTCTCTCTCTCTCCATCTCTATCTCTCTCACTCTACTATATTGTATATATATATATGTATATATGTATGTATGCATGTATGGAGGCTTTCATTTCGAGATTTCATGTGAAAAAAATTTTGACTTCATCTTTTAACTCCTTTATTCGATGATGTAGGGGACTGAGCATTACTGGCAGGGGTTCCGTGGAACTAGATCTCCACCGTTGGATTGGTAAGGCCCATTATAATGAACAGTAAATAATTGAACTGGTTCTGCAGTCCCTGGCGTTGGTAAAATTTAATCAATTTTATGCAGGCTTGTCTGTATGCTCAGATCCCCTGGAATTTTCTGACACCGCTGTCCATATTCACCTATACAGTTGCTAGATACTCCTATATATATACACATACATATATTTATATGTCTATGCGTAGGTACATAGCCAATATCGGACTTCAAAACCTCCTCGATTTTTTATTATTTTGATTTTGTTTTTTTCTAAGACATCCTCTCTCCATCCAATCAGAGTTGAACTCTTTCATTAGGACTCGGTTTCTTTGGCGGAAATATTTAATTAGTTAATAATAATTAATTATGAAATTATTATATTATTTTTTAAAATAATTAATAATATTTATATTTTTAAAGTAAATTTAATATATATGATTAAAAAAATTAAAATATATATTTAAATATTTAAAAATTATATAGTAATTAAAAAATATATGCAATATGGATATCATTTTGTAGAGAATAAAATTTTTTATAATAAAAGTAAATAAAAAAAAATTTGTTTATTTATAATTAACATAAATTAATTTTATAAAAGATGTGTAGTTTTAAATATAAATATAAATATTTATTTTTTTTAGGAGAAATGTAGAAATAAAGGGGTTTTAAGTGAGTCCTACGTCATTTATGATGTTGTAAGTTATGTAGTTAATTAAGTTGATTTATATTTGTTAAATATATTTTGATTTAATAATTTTTACCAAAAATAGAAATGTATCAATTGTTATGGAACGGACAAAAATGAAAATAGTATCAAATATGGTAGGACGGAGGGAATATTTTTTTGCAAAATAACACACTATACAAAATTTAATATTAAAATAATATATAGAATTTAAAAAAATTAAATTTAAATTTAATATTAAAAATATTTCTTTTTATTGGATTTAGAAAGTTTTCGTTTGAATTTATGTGTTTGTTTGGGGGATTGGATTTTCAATTCACTGTTCATCCTATTTTTTCTCTTCACAAACATCAAATCAAACATCTATTTTTTATTTTTTATATTATACTAAAAATTAATTTTACATTCAAAACATCACATCAACACCTATTTATATCACATCATACAACTATTCAAATTCAAAATTTTAACTATTCAAATCCCAACTCAAAATTCAAACTGCAAAAAACAATGTATATACTACCAGATCCATAAACAATTTGTTCATATTTTTTAATATGAATGCCTAATTCTATTGTCTTTTTTTTTTTTTTTTTCATAGTAACAAAAAATTATATATATAAAAAAAACAATTCAACATATTTTCTAAAATAAAATTGAATACATTGCATATATTTATTAATTTTATATTTTATTTATGTCTCAATTTAAAGTGTCTTATTTACCATTTTGTATATCTTATTTTAAAATATTCATTTCCTATTTAGAGAAAGTAATCAAATATTAATACCAAATTATTATTAACTTTTATTTTAATTACAAATATATTATTACATATACATTATTACATATACAATTTAAAAGACAATGATGTAAAAACCTCATACACACTTACACGAACTAATAAAATTATATTATTTATTAATCTATTACAAAATTCAAAAGGACCATTTTGATTTGGAACGTAGGACATATTATTTAAACAATTTCCTATACATCATATTATAATTTTTTCTTCAAACCAACACTACCAAAATTTGTTAATTAGCCTCGGAAATTGCCTCCAAATCGATTCTAGAAGTGTAAAGATACATATCTAATAAATATTTAATTAATTAATTTTTTTGCATTGAAATTTCTGAGCTTATGTTTTTCGAAACTATATTAAATATACAATATAGTATATTGGATGGTTTCGAATTTCCAAATCTATTTTGATTAGTTTTGGAAATTTCAAACTTTCGAAACTATTTTAATTAGTTTCGAAAATTCCAAACCTATTTTAATTAGTCTAAAAAATTCCAAAACTTTATTAGTGTCGAAAATTCCTAACCTATTTAATTGGTCTAAAACATTTCAAACCTTTATTAGTTTCAAAAATTTTCCGAAGCTATTTTAATTTGTCTCAGAATTTTTGAACTTATTTTCATTAGTCTCTGAAATTTCAAACATTTCTTAGTCTCGGAAATTCCGAAACCCTTATTAGTCTTAGAATAGTCTCGACAATTCATAACCTATTTTTATTACTCTCAGAATAGTCTCAAATTTACGAACCTACTTTGATTAGTCCCCAAAATTCTGAACTCATGTTAAATAGTCTCGAAACTTTCAAATCTACTTTGATTAGTCTCGAAATTTTCCGAACCTATCAAATAATTTTAATTCCCACCACTGCAAATTAAGTAATTTTACATTTGATTTTGATTTTATTTAGATATATATTTTTAATCTATTTAGTGTGTTAAAAATATATAAAATAATTGATTAAATTGTTGCAATATAAAAATAATTAAAATGATAAATTGAATAAGTAATTAAATTTAAATTTAAATTAGAATAAATAAAAATAAATTATAAAAATCTTGATGCATTAAATAATAAAATAATGAGTAAAATATATTTTTGGTCTATTTTATTCACTAATGTATCAATTTTAGTCCATTTGTTTTTAAAATAAAAATTTTGGTTACTTATTCGTTAAATTAGTTCAATTTTCAATACCATAATTTTCTTTATTAGTATGAAAAATTGTCTCAGAAACAATTTCGAAACTATAAATATATATAATAAATATAAAAGCAATCAATTTTTTTTTTTTTTTTGTCTAGGAAACTCCGAGACTAATTAATTTTGTTTCGGATTTTTTGAAACTATATTAAATATATATTTTATTATATTGAATAGTTTCGAAAGTTGCAAAACTATTTTAGATAGTCTCGTAAATTTTGAACTTTTATTAGTCTTGAAAACTCCGAACCTTCATTAGTCTTAGTACTTCCGAAACTATTTTAATTACTATCGGAAATTCTGAACCTATTTTAATTACTATCAGAAATTCCGAACCTATTCTAAATAGTTTCAAAAATTCAGAACTTTACAGACTAAAAAAATCCAAATATTTTTTTATTAATCTAAAAAAATTCTGAATATTTGTTAGTCTCGGAACTTCCGAAGCTATATCTAAAATAGTTTCGGAATTTTCTGAACCTATTCTACATAGCCTCGAAAATTCCGAACTTCTACAGTCTCGGAAATTTCAAACCTATTTTAATTAGTTTCAGAAAATTCTGAACCTTTATTAATCTCATAACTTCCGAACCTATTCTAAATAGTTTTGGAATTTTCCGAACCTTTATACATATTCTCGTAAATTCTGAACTTATTTTAATTAATCTCAAAAATTCCGAACCTATCTAAATAGTTTCCAAATTTCCCGAACCTATTCTACACACTACCAGTAAAAACAACGCAAGTCTCGGAAAATAAGCCTCGTAAGTTAAAATAGATCCGAAGCTATTTTTTAAAAAATCTCGGAATTTTTCTCGAATAGCTGCCCGAAGAGTAAAACTCGTTGCCATTTTGAGTGGCTTCGGAAATTCCGAACCTATTTTAAATAGCTTTGGAATTTTCGAAACTCAATTCCGTTTCTTCCTTCTTCTTTCCCATCTTCCTTTCTTCCTTGTTCTTTCCCCTAAATTCAAAATAATTTCCCCCCCCCAAAAATCCTTCCCTCTTCCTTCATTTCTTCTTCTACTCCTATATTCTTCTTTTCGTCCTCCCACTCCTCCTTCTCCATAATCTTCACCGGCCACAGCGACGGCGAAGATGGCAGCAGTGGCGGAGCCTGTCCTTCTCTTTGGAGGGAAATCCATAATTTTTTGTGAAAGCAATGGATTGAAGTGTTTTACTCTAAGATTGAGCCAAGAAAGTGGAAAGGACTTTGAATGATGAATATTCAACAACTAGTTTGAAAATTAAATCAATACAATATGAAGAGTCACATTTGCAGGTAGGCCAGACCAGCAACATACAAGCCAGATGGAGAAAATGGAGAAGTATATCTTTTCTCCATAACCTTGGTTGCTTTTAAGTAATGATTTAAGCCTTTTTGACTTAATTGTCTCCCATGGTGGAGAGCAAATGGAAAGAGATAAAATTGCTTGAAGAGGTATTATTTGTTTTCATCTTAGGACAGTTTGAGATTAGTTTGATGGATTGAATAGATTGTTTGTTTGTGTGAATTACTTGTTGATTGTGATGTCTAATATGAGTTGCATGGATTAAGAGGGAGTCCAATATATTATTGAACGATCAATCAAAAGAAGTGGAAGCAACCTTCAACCCCTATCACGACGGATAAAGAATTTTTGTTTGATGTTTCCCAAATGGGGAGAAGGATGATGTTTGATGCTTACATGTTGATCTTGGGAACAAGAACTCTTGATTTGTGGCAGTGCTCGCATATGTTTTGCGGTTAGTTGAGGAGGAGAGTTTAGTCTTGAAATCTGCTGAATTTTTTTACCTTTTGTAGAGTTGTTGATCGTCCCCACTTAGGTTGGTAAACATCAACAAAAAAGGAGGAGATTGTTGATAATGAGTTATATGTATATTTGAATTTCGGTTGATGTTGTCCGTAGATGGTCCGATCAATGTATGGATTCTAGCGGTAGCTGCGGTCCATTTATTATGAAACAATTGATCTATTTATTGCGGCCCAAGTTGACCAAGCTGACGTA